CACAAGCCCATGCATGCACACACAGCTCACCTGCCCACTCTCCCATGGACGTAAAAAAGGACTTTGACAGTGGAAACCATAGTTTTGGAAAAAGCATCCTACTGAAAAGCAGCAGTTTCACTCCATAGTAGACAACAACTGCTGCACCAAGAGAAATGAAAAACAATTCCATTAAATCCATGCTCGTCCAACAACAAACTCCAGCTTTAAGCCTCTCTGTGTTTAGTTCAGAGATTCACTTAGAAAAAAGAATGACAGAAGAGGGAATAGTTCTGCCAGAGAACACTCCCATTTCTGGAACACAGACACATGCACAGACCCTGACGCTCACTACCTCAGACTTGGATGACAACACACACAGACACACACACACTCACACTTAAACCTGATATTTTTAAAAAGCCTTTTGAGGCAAATATCTGAGTATTTTCATCAGAAGCAGACTAAGGTTTTTCCATCACCATCAGCACTGCAGTATCTGATCAAATGCTTAGTACTAACTAATCCACCTTTAACAAAGGACCAAAGAAGCGTGGTTAGAATTCATGTAGTCTAAAAAAGATGGGGTGCTTCACAATAGCTCTGCCCATACACGTGCATGCATTCATGCATCCATGCTTTCACACAGACTCACAACGACACACACACACACACACAACCTTTTACGAAAGGTCATTGCCATTGCCAAGCCCTTTTTTGGCCAATTAGTAGATTTCAGCCTCCTAGAGTGAAAACTTTGGCTACTAAAAGTTAGTATTGTAAAGAGATTAACGTGTTAGAAGACGTCGGCATGAAAGAATGTGTGTAAAGACTGGAGCAATATAAACTCTCTGGAAGGGAGCCAAATTAATTGCTGTAAGATGAGCTGATATGGAAAACCATCTTGCAGAACCTGTTTACCTCTGGAACCAGGACTTAAAGGAGTGTGAATGTTGCTGAGGGCTCTCAAACTGTCATTATGACACATACAATGGGGCATTCTTCCTCACAGTAACATTGTCACTACAGTGATTTCTGTCAACTCTGCTTTACTTTGTTAGGACAAAATAGTACCAAAGTGATTGTAAAACACAATGTCACTTTTGTAAGTTTAGTAGAGTACTTAATGTGGCCCGTCAGGGCTGACTCACCCATAAAGTTACTACTCAGTAGGTTTTTTTGGGCAGCTTTTTACCTTCATTGGATAGGCCAGCTAAAGATTGACAGGAAAGGGGGAGAGAGAGGGCATGACACACAGCAAAGAGCCACAGGTCAGATTCAAACCCATTGCCACTAAAGCAACGACTCAGCCTTGGTACATGGGGTGCCAGCTCTACAGGGTGAACTATAGGGCACCCCTAAACTCTTAATTTTCTATCTTGCACAATGAGGTTGGTGGTGTTTTTTTTGCAAAATCCAATCGCTACAAAGATCCATTTCTAGACAGGCTGGATTAAATTTACACTTCCCTGGCACAGTTTTCAGAAAACGGCTCATCAAGTGGTTGAAGAAAGGAGAGGGAGAACACATTTAAAAATGATACATTTCTGATTCTGAGCAATTTAATTCTAATGACTTGATGAAAAAGGGGCTATTATGAAGGTACTTGATTTTTTCCCATGCAAAATTCAAGCACTTCAAGCACCTTGTGCAATCCCTGGTTGTCAACACCCCTCAGATCCAGATCTGGGTGAGGAGTTCACAGCACACTGTGAACCCAGAAAACAAAGAACAAAGCCATAGGTTTCAGTGTCTGTGACTGCCTCCTCCTATTCCTCAGAAATGGAAAGGAAGTACACATTTCTGGGACACAAAGAACACTGGGACAATGTGCTTCAAGTAGCTTGCACACAGCTCTTAAGCCAGTGATATACCTGCTGTTTGACCATGTGTTCATGTTGCAGACGTGTGTTTCTGTGCATGTGCACAACAGTCCAAATGGACGCAGGATATATGAGGTAGCATCATGTCCATAGAAACTGTTAAAGTTAAAGTAAAGACCAGAGGGGCTTGTATTGCAATGAACCCTGTAGATACACAAAACTATGGCTTGTAGAAGAATGCTGTACTGAAAAAAGTATGAAATCAACTTACCATCAGTGATTCCACTCCTATGAGACACCCACTGAGGAGAACTGTATAGCGACTTCAAAAGGTTATTCTGCAAATGGGTCCAGTATGACATGTACACCAAAAAAGAAAAAAGGTTACGTAGAAGATAGTCCTTGAGCTGTATCTGAGGGTGCTGTACAAAGAAGGTCAAAGAGTGCGGGTCAAAGAGCCACCGCTGCAGAGGCCGCTAAACAGGTGGATGACTATGACTGCTTACTAGGCACTGGGAACCTACTGCTATGCAAGACAAGTCAGATCTCAAGAGAGTAAGTCTGAGGGGCTGGGCAAAGGTAGTAGTAGGGAACTATACACAGGGTCAGGCCAGCCTTTAGAAAACTTTTACTTGTAGAACCAAAAAACCTCAAGCCTCAGTCAGGTCACAAAGCTGAAATAGTGTATCACAACTGTAGTGAGGCAAACTATACCTGCCCAGTTAAAAAGCCCAAAGCTGCAAACCTGTGTTAAATCCCAAGACCTGAATTAATACATCCCCCAAAGTTGTCACCAACAGTCCTGCTATATGGCAGACCCCTTTCTGCATTATTAGACAGGTTAGGTTGTTTGCACTCTCTTGTTCAGGCAAGGTTTGTACAAAGAGAGCAGTGAAAGACAGTAGAGACAGTGCTGGTTGTTTGTGCGCATAGCAATAGTTCAGAACCAAATTTACCTCATGAAAGAGGGAGTAACTCTGGAGTATCTTGTGTTGTTAGAAACAGATACATTCAATTCTCTTGGATCTAATCCAGGAGAGTAGGAGTAGGTTGTGGCAGTTGTCACCAGGTCTAAGGCAAAGGAAATCCCTGCCCCACCAGTGTTGCACACAGTTACACCTGTCCCACTCTAGTTACAGAGATGCCCATGTCTGTCCCACTAGATGTAAGGAGTCGAGCTTCAATGGCAGGTTCTGCAGAGAGACAAGTAACTGATGCACAAATATGTCCACTCATCAAGTTCCAGCTACAACTACAGACACAGACACAGGAGCAGAAAGATGTAGTGTCCAGAGTCACACAGGAAGAAAGGTTGGGGTCACGCAGAGAGCAGGTTTGGGAGTCGCTACAATAGGCGGCTGAAGCAGGAAGTTGAGGCGCCAGAGCTAGCTGAGGAGGATGTTGCCTTTTCCTGTAACCTTGCTCTTTTGTAGAAAATTGATCCAATTGCAGAGTGTTTCAAGAAAACAGAAGCTGGGCCTAGCTCACCAACTGCGATTTTTGTGTTTGGAAATCAAGGGCTGAGGTGCATAAGCTACTGCAAAACATGCCCAGAGTGTCACCTCACTGCAGGGAAGCATACAGCTCCTGCACCCCTCATTCCACTCCCTTTGAGCATATTGGAGTAGATATTAGGAAGGAGTCAGGCTGTCATTTGTGACGATGCCACTAGGTATCCAGAAGAAGTAACAGCCAAATTAGTAGCCACAGTTATGCTTAAGTTTTTCAGCCAGGTTCGTATTTCGAGAATCCGCACACTGTCTCAAGATCAGCTCTTAGGCATCAAAAAAGTTAGAACCTCCCCCTTAATGGTCTAGTCAAACGTTTTAACCTAACTTTGATTGGTATGCTTAATAACTTTGCGTCTGATTAAAGAAAATACTGGGTCTAATGGACAGGCGCTTTTAAGAAATACTCAGCAAGTCATTGGATGAACCATCTGTCATGAACCATATAATGTAGTCAGGAGAAGAGCCACAACATTGTGACATCTTATCAATTCAATTTACGTCTTATTTATCAACAGATTAATCGATAATGAATATAATGGTTAATTGCAGGCCTAATTTCATCCACAACACCACTAATGAAGAAATACAATTTCTATATGCATCAGAATCATGACATTTCTTATAAAAAACAATTCAATTCAATTTTATTTGTATAGTGCCAATTCATAACAGAAGTTATCTCAGGAGTCAGGACACTTTTCAAACAGAGCAGGTCTAGACCGAACTCCTTATAACATTTACAGANNGCAAGGAAAAACTGCCTTTGACTGCCATGGTGAGTCTTTTTACTTTCTTTGAAGTGCACATGAAATAGTTAGAATTGCTGTATTACAAAGAAGCACAATTCACACTAACTTTAAATGTGTTGAGCTATGAGCAGTGTAAGAGTTTCTGGAAAAGACTAAACTGTTGTATTGCTTGACTTTTTGATGTTTTTGCAAGGCCTACTGGACTCACATTCATGAATATGCTTGAGAAGCCAAGTTACATTGTTTATAGTACAGGGCTGATAATGTACATCATGTACAGTTTTATTACCTTTATAATCTTACAAATCTACACAGATGTAGCTCGACAAAGTAAATCAACTCCCAAAATCACATGCTTTGAGTACTTTCCAAAAGACAACAACAACGATGAGAGGCAGTACACAACAACAGCACACAACAACACACAACAACAGGCAAACCCATTCATTCATGACTTAAAAAAAAAAAAAAATATTGAACAGTTTAAATGTACAAAACTACAAGTTATACAATAACAATCAACACATTGCTGACATAAATAATAAATAAATCAAAGATAGAGTACAAATTTAACAAAAAAAAAAAATATATAAAAATAATTAAATAATAATAATTAAAATAAATAAGTAAATAAATAAAAAATAGGTAGGCTTCAGGGAAAAACTTTTCATAATGACTCAGTAATTACTTTTTTTGTTATTTAACAAAATCAGAGATTTAAGCAAAGAGCAGTTCAGGAGAAAAGGAGCAAATGTAGGTAGTAAAAGTAAAAAAGTAAAGAATTTTGCATATAGGATAACAAAGTTCATCAGGTGTTCAAGAGCATTATCTTCTGGGTTAACATAGTAGCAAATAACATCTTTAAGGGTAAGAGAGTAGACAGTTAGCAGCATCAAAAAAATGAGATTCAACATCACTCAAAACTTTTTAGATATATCACAATAAAAAAACAGATGTGACATTGTTTCTGTATTAAGATTACAAAAAGCACATCTATAAACTTATCAATAATACTACTAACTGGGTATATATTATGCAGTATTTTAAAATGCACTTCTTTAGCCGTGTTCGATAAGCAATATTTATGAGGTAGAAGCTGTTCTCCAGTTTATGTCCTCTATTTGGGACCTCCAGTAAACTCTATTCATTCTTTGAAAACACTGGGAATATGTTTATTATCACACTTTGTATCTGTAGTCCCACTCAGCATCAGTACAGGTTGACTTGTTTTATATTCACTGTGGCTTTTTATAAGCTGAATTAACTCTATTGGGATAGCACGAGTTACAGATATAAATCCTCTGGAGGGAACAGGAAAACTGTGTACAGACATTAAACGTTCATAAGACAACATATTACCAGCGTTATCAAAAAGATCGAGGATATGGATGATACCTCTTTCAAACCATTTTAACAAGAATAAAGATTTGTTTCTTATAAGAATATGGCTGTTATTCCAGAGGAAAGCCTTGTGGGTGAGACATTGTGGACAAAAGCCAGCTTCCATGCGAGGAGAGTTTGTTGATGACATTTTGATAGTTTGATTGGTGATCTATTAGGTCAAAAATTACATTTCAAAAGAAAGGAAAGACCTCCAATTTTATTAAAACTGTAGTTTGGGATGAAAAACCAGAACGAGTCAGGGTTTCTGAGACACTTTCTCAACCAGTTAACCTTAAAGGTATTGACAGTGTCGATCAAATCTGGGACTTCAAGACCTCCTTCTGCCTTACTGTTGGAGAGTACACATTTCTTGAGTTAACGCGATTTATGTTTCCAGATGAAGTCTAAAATTTTGTTTAATTATTATTATTATTATTATTATTACTGTTTTTTGACTTGTGTGGTAGTTGGTTCACTTACAAACAGGGACAATGCTGGATATACGAAGCGAGACAAACCTTCTGCTTTAGAGAGAAGAACTCTAAGAAGTCCCTCTGAAGCCAAATGTTAAAAATAGATTCTTTTTTAGTCTGTTTGAGAAATGTAAATGTTGCCTAACTGTAAGATCTTTAGTTATGAATATTCCTAATTATTTAACAGAAGTCTTTACTGGGATATTTTCAATTGTAGAATCAGTGGAATTATGCAAAGACAACATTTCACATTTGGACATATTAAGTCTTTGACCTGAGGCGTTAGAAAATTGGTTAATTAGAGTAATATTATGATTGACAATAACTCAGTGACTAAAAGAAATACAAAGGGAGATATAGGGCAGCCTTGTCGGACACCTCTGTTAATTAGAAATCTTTTAGATGTGTTCAGATTGATTATCACAGAGCTGTTAATGTCTTTATAAAACATACTGACAGTATCAACAAAGTTATTCCCAAAACCGAATACTTTGAGGGACTGAAAAAGAAAGTTGTGCTAACTGTATCAAAGGAGTTATAAAAGTCTAAGAACAAAATAAGAGCCTCGGTGTGAACTTCATTTGCATAGTCCAATAAATCTAAAATAAGTCTAATGTTACTGCTAATATGTCGATTTTTCATAAAACCTGTTTGAGTTTCTGCAATAATCATGTCTAGTCCTACTTTTAACCTGCTGGCATACACTAATATTTTATAATCAAATGTTAGGAGAGTAATAGGACGCCAATTCTCTATTATTAGGGGTCTTTATCCGGTTTGGGAATAAGAGATATGATACCCTGCTTCATTGTAGCCGTCAGCTCTCCTTTGTACACACATAATAGTGGGTTTTGAATAGATTCCTAAAAGTGAGTATAGAATTCGACAGATAAGCCGTCAATACCTGCTGACTTTCCTTTCTTCATTGAGAATAATGCTTTTTTAATAGTTGACAGGTCAGAGTCACATATAGATTTGAAATCTTCAGTAATTAAGGGAATATTAGTCTGAATCTTTCCTGGAAAACTTCACAATCCTTTGCGTTAAAGTTAGAATTATATAGTTTTCCGTAAAAATCAGAAACAAACTCATTTATCACATTCTGATCTTTGATATTAAAGGCAGTTAATGACTTTCTGTTCACAAAAAGTAATTAGTGTTCCTCTCTCCTTCCTCCAGCCATTTGGCCCTCGATCTAATAAATGCACCTTTTGTAAGTCTAGATAAAACTGATCCAGTTGTAACTTCGAGCTCTTCTTCTAAAGAAATGTGTTCTTTATTGAGTAAAAGGTTAAGACTGTACATCAGATCTGTTTTTCATTCTTTACTTCTTTTGATAGCAACATACCTGACTTTATATTTGAAGAACTCCCATTTTTTCCTATAATTATCATTAAGGCCATCATTAAGAATATCTTGTACAAACTTTTTAACGGCATTATTGAAAGACACATCCTTTAGAAGAGAATGAATGACTTTATATTTTATATCTCGCATACCAAAGGTTTCCTGATTAGAAGCTTCACAGTGATTTGCTTATGATCCGATAAGATACAGACACAAACAGTCAGCAGGTGATGAAGATGAAGATGAAGATGTGAGGATGTTCAGCCGCTCTGTTCTCCATTAGAGGAAGTGAACAGATCAAACATTGTGTTTGACTCTCAGAGAGGACTTTGATATGATTGAAACTTTATTGTATCACTGTATGATTCATATGATGTTAGTTTGATTTCCAACAGAAGTTACAGCTCTCTTTCTGACCATCAATAACAGCGCTCACCTTTTCTCTTCCTATTGGACTACATTGGGTCACATGACCCGGAAGCGCTGTCAAACGCATCTCCGACAACCGTATTTTGTTCAAATGACACATTTTACGTTGATTTATCCTCTTTGACTGATTCACTGTGTGTTATAGACATTATATATTAATATCTATAACACACAGTATATATATTAACATTAACACCGTCAGTGAGTTCCCGGTGCGAGAAAGATCTCCGTACCTTCCGACTTGTAGTTCAGTATCGGCTCTCGCCTTTTGCTAAGATCCAGTGTAGTATCTGTTCTATCAGCTTTAATATCGATACGTCCCTACCCGGGACCATATATGTTAAATGTTTTTGAACTGGAGATGGAATAGGGGCTGCCCGCCACTCACGCATCGAACCTGGTATCTGCATACTTCCAGGACCGTGCACCCCTCTCTTTGTGCACATAATTAAACATTATTAATGTTATTCGTGCTTCTTCTGCTACTTCTCGAGAACACCAACCACTGTGTTACTCCTGTCTCATCCACCCACAGCTTATTATATCAATATACTGATCTTCTATCTCCATATTCCATTTCACATAGATCTTATGTATAATACCACATTAAGACTCTATATAACCTGTTTCTGCATTATCCCTCTCATGTATGGAGTTGGACATATATCCTTATATATCTTTACATATACGTACATAAAAATAATTATTTCCCTGTGCAATTATATTTATTTACACTGTAACTTCCTGCTGTAATTAATTTGGTGCAAGGCAAATATGTATTACATGTTTACTTGTTAATGCTACACACCTTTACAATTCAATAAGCTGTGCATTGTTCTGTGAATGTTCCATCAAACATACACACACATATAAATGAGTCTATTTGTAGGTATTGTATTGAATCTATTATTCTGTCATGTTATGTGGAAGCTGCTGTACACACATTCACCGCTGGTGATCATAATGTGTTATCCTATCTCTGTTATTGAAAAGGAAGAGTGAACATTTATTCTTAAGTCCCTCATCTGATTGATAAGACTGTTCCCTAAATGAAGCCTGAACTACACGGTGTGAAGACTGTACGCCTGGTATTGCAGACTTCCCTCCTTATTGTGAAATACTTATATTCTCCTGTGATCTCTTCAGTTATTGTTGTCTTTAACTCCTCAGGTAGTATAGTTAGTGGATTCTGTCTCGTTAATCATTATACTTTGTGCTCACAAATCAAACTTCAATATAATATATATAAATATAATGAATAATACTCTGAATATGTGCGTGAACACTGGAAGTATCTGTGCTAAGAGGCTTTATATTTATAACGACTTTCTCCTTTGTTGCTGGTATTTGTGACAGGAAACAACAAAGTGAAATAAAAGCAGACGTTTGTCTCTGACTGTACACAATAAGAATATCCTGTAAAACATTTATGGTGTATTTAATGTTCATGTTTTATTGTAACAGCAGAATAATTCAGTGTTTGTGATTAACAGTCTCAGATTGATCTTCAGTGGGGACGAAGGGCAGCGAGGTTAAAGGGGATCAGAGGTCAGGATCCGCCCGGGGATCTTTACCATCTAATCAATTAGTTATCAGGTCCCAGGATGGATTGATCCTGAACCGAACCCACATAAACCCACAGAGCTTTTAAACCGGGTCCAGTCTGCCACAGAGACACAGAGACCGTCACCACAAAGAGACTGACGGTCGACATCCAGCTCCACACTCACATCTGCTTCTGGGTGATATTTTGTGAGTATTTAAGTGTCTGAGTGTAAATGTTTTATACGTCTGTATCACATTTAAAGTCTCTGTCCTGTCTAATATATATAAAGTAGTAGTATAAAGTTTCAGCCTGTAGAATATCGCAGAGAATTAATGCGGTTTTATACTAAATAAGTCCTAAAAACATGTTTACAGCTCACATTTAATCCCACTCTGTTTATATTATTCTGTCCAGGCATCTTTCCTCATCCTAATAATCTGCTTTATTTTATTCATGTTTAATTAATTTCTCTTCCTCAGGCAGAGGGACCAGACGTTATTGATCCACCAGGAGGCCTCTGAGAGCTGATATTGGACCGATCAACAGGACGACACACAGTCAGAGAGTGAGGATGAGGAGGAGCGAGGAACTGTTCAGGCTGCTTCCTGCGTGAGAGACGGTGGGACCCTCTCATACTACCTCTCCTCTAGCTGCTCCTCCACCAGACTGAGGAGGAGGAGGAGGAGGAGGAGGAGGAGGAGGAGGCCTACCATCCAGGAGGAGACACGTTCTACAGGAGGCTGCAGAGTCCGAACCGTCTGGAGGAGGAGGCTCTCTCTCTGGCTGAGGAGGGAATACGCCTCAGAAACTCTGACGGACTCTGAAGAATCAGCCAAGAAACCTCTGGCTGGTTTCTGGAGGTGGTTGTCTCTCAGACAGCTGCTGCTCCAGGCCGGATCGGGACATCCTCGCCTTGCGGCCAGCGACCGCCTCCACATCTGTCCGTCTGCGGTCGAACCTCTGCAGCCTCGCTTGGCGCTCAGGAACCGATGTTTCCTGGGTGGCGGAGAGCTTGTTGTTTCGCCACAGAGGGCCGGAGTAGTCGGGAGACCTTTCCTGGAGACCAGACTGAGTCCTCTTGAGCTTCCTGCCTCTGAGAGAAGTCAGAGAGAGAAAGCTCCAGGCTCCTGTGATGTGTTCAGGGCTCTTCATCGTCACAGTGTCCCAGAACTGATGCTGCACTGGGGGGAGGAATCAGACTCCGACCTGGAGGAGCTGCTGGTTGAGGATGAAGATGATGGTGGTAGCGAAGGCGAGGACTGAGACGGAGCAGTAAATCCTGTAGAAAGCACAAATCTAACTGTTTTAAAGGCAAATGAAAGAGTTCATAATGTATAATGTGAGTTAGATAACATGCTGGTGGGTGAAAACAACCCAGTGACCTCCTTCTGTCCCCGCTCTTTGTAGGTCAACGGGACGGGACTGTGATTTATTGACGGTTTCTCGGTCAATGAATCGATGTGTGAAATGGTGCTGCCTTCAGGGACCGCTGCCTTCGAGACACAAAAACATAATTAGTTGTTTGTTTAAAGTCAGGCTGCAGACTGTGGTACAGTTTGTTACTGAGTACATTTATCAAGCACTGTCATTCAGGACTAATTCTAGTGTTTCTATTTCATACTGCTTTATATTTCTACTCCACTACATTCATTTAACAGCTTTAGTTACTTTGCAGATTAAGATTTTGCATAAAAATCAGTTTATAAGATTTTACACACTGTTGTGAAACAGTAAAATGCTGCTTACATACTAATGTCAATGATATATATATATATATAATGTTTCTGCAGTAAGAGTACTTTATTTTGACACATTTACATAAGAGATATTTATAATGCAGGAGTATTTACCTGTAGAGTATTTTTATATTGCATTATTGGATCTGAGTACTACCTTCACTGACAGAACAAGCAATTCTGAAAAGAGAAACACATCCGTCATTTAACTAGTAATTCATTAATTTAAGATAATTTATTATTTAAAAACTTATATTTAGGACCAAAAGTAATTAAAGTAACTGGATACTAACGTTAACACTCAGACATTTACCTCATAATTATCACTGAGTCATTTAAAGCAGTCCGACCGTTAAATGGCAGTTATTTATCGACGGCGCATGCGCAGTTCTCTGCTCAACGTTCGCGTGCAGAAATCAGAACAATCGATATTTTCGCTAAAAACTCGCTGATTGTCGATATTATTGTATTATAGTTAGTGTGGAAACACTGATAATTATAATATGTTTTACATTGGCCGAATATTTGTTCACATAATAACTGTGATAAAGTTATTTTTAAAAAAGTTCGTGGCGTTGTAACTTGCAATGC